AAACCCCGTCGGCATATGAAATTTTCCAAGCTCTTTCCAATATGCATCCTAATAAAGCTCCTGGGGTGGATGGAATGCATGCATTATTCTTCCAAAAATGTTGGCACATAGTGGGGTTTGATGTTGTGGGGTTTATTCAGAGTTGGTGGGCAAATGGAGGCGATTTGAGTGAGATCAATAGGACTTGTGTTGTTCTAATCCCGAAGTGTCAAATGCCGACTAAGATGACTGAGTTCCGACCTATTAGCCTTTGCAATGTGATATATAAAATTATTTCGAAGATGATGGCTAATAGGCTCAAACTCATCTTGCCTGGTCTTATTTCCTATCATCAGAGTGCCTTCGTTCCGGGTCGATTGATTACCGACAATGCAATTATGGCGTTTGAAATTTTCCATGCGATGAAGAGACGGGGTGAAGGAAAAAGAGGGACGATGTCTTTGAAGCTTGATATGAGTAAGGCCTATGACCGAGTCGAATGGACTTTTCTTGAGAAAGTTTTAGAGCGATTGGGTTTTGCTCATGATTGGACTCGGTGGATTATATCGTGTTTGTCTTCGGTTAAATATTCTATCAAGTGGAATGGTCGGGTATTGGGTTGTGTTACTCCTTCTCGTGGGCTCAGACAAGGTGACCCAATCTTTCCATATCTCTTCTTGTTGTGTGCGGAGGCTTTTTCCTATTTACTTGTGAAAGCGGCCAATGAGAAAGCAATTCATGGAGCGCTAGTGTGTAGAGGGGCTCCGAGAATTTCTCATCTCTTTTTCGCCGATGATAGTATCTTATTTGCTAGAGCGACTCTTCAGGAATGCTCCAAGATTGCTGAAATTATCAGTATTTATGAGCAGGCATCGAGACAAAAGATTAATTTTGAGAAATCTGAAGTGTCTTTTAGCAAGGATGTTGATGCAAGCAGGAGATGGGACATCATTGGGCTGCTCGGGGTAAAACGGGTAGCCAGACATGAAAAGTATCTTGGGCTCCCGACTATTATTGGAAGATCGAAGAAAGCGGCTTTCTTGTGCATAAAGGAGAGGATTTGGAAGAAATTGCAAGGTTGGAAGGAAAGGCTACTCTCTCAGGCCAGGAAAGAAGTTCTCATCAAGGCGGTCATTCAAGCTATCCCTACATATATGATGGGGTTATTTCGGCTCCCCGATGGCATTATTCATGAGATTAATATGATGGTAGCTCGATTTTGGTGGGGAGCCTCGGGTACGGAAAGGAAACTTCATTGGCTTAGTTGGGAAAAACTTTGTCTTCCTAAGTCATTGGGTGGAATGGGTTTTCGTGATTTGGGAACTTTTAACCAAGCGTTATTGGCAAAGCAAGGATGGCGCCTCATTGGTAACCCGGAGTCTTTGGTGCATAAAATTCTTAAAGCTAGGTACTTTAAAAATGGAGATTTTCTGTCAGCTAATCGAGGCTATGATCCTAGCTATGTATGGAGAAGTATTTGGGGGGCTAAGGCTCTCCTTCTTGATGGGTTGAAATGGAGGGTGGGTGATGGAAGAGATATCAATGTTTGGGATGATGCGTGGCTGCCGGGTGAAAGTGTGTATAATGTGCCTACCCCAAATGTTGAGAGTCCACCTGATTTGCACGTGGCTGATCAAATTGATAGTGTGAATAGATGCTGGAATATAGAGGTGTTGCAACAACATCTATCTATTGCTGATGCTGCTAAAGTCCAGGAACTTCCGTTGAGCATTCGGCATACGAAGGATACCAGATTTTGGGGTGCTTCAAAGGATGGTATTTATACCACCAAATCGGGGTATATTCTGGGAAGACTTAACCACGTGCGTGGGTGGGAGTCGATGTTTGGTGGAGATAATGCAGTAGCTTGGAAGACTGTGTGGGGGATTGATGGGCCTCCTAAGCTTCGAAATTTTCTTTGGAGAGCTTGTAAGGGGTCCCTCGCATCCTTTGGAAGACTGCAGCAACGACATATTCGTGATGATGGAATATGTAAAGTCTGCAGGGGGGAGGTGGAAAGCATTATGCATGCCATTTTTTCTGCTCTAATGTTCGAGGTATATGGGAGATGTCCCCCTTTGCCAATTTGCTGGTGGATGCTCCAATTAATTCTTTTATGGAGAGAATGCTCTGGGTTCATACAAAGGTATCGAAAGATGAGTTCCTGCTGTTCACTTCTCTGTCTTGGGCTGCTTGGTCCTATAGAAATTTTGTCTATTTTGATGAGCCGTGGAAGAATAGAGAAATTGGGGTGTTGGGGTTTGTGAAACTCGTGGCTGACTACAAAGAGTACACGAATGCGGTCTCGGGTGGGAGTAGAGGGGCTGCTGCTGTGGGTCGAAGCTGCTGGAGGTGTCTTGATGCTGGCATTGTGCGCATCAACACTGATGTTGTCGTATTGGATGGGTAGGGAGTGAGCTTGGGAGCTATAATTAGGGACTCTAATGGTGGTCTAATGGTTGTGAAGGTTCGTCGAGTGAATGCCCAGGTTTGTGTGGCTCTTGCTGAAGCGTTGGCAGCAAGAATGGGGGTAGTTTTGGCTGCTGAACTCGGCTGTCAGAGGGTAGATTTAGAATGTGACGCTTCTTCAGTAGTACAGGCTATTAATAGCAGCAAGAGAGAACTATCTCCAATTGATCTTGTTTATGCTAATATTGCTTTGTTGGGCAGGGATTTCGTGTCTTTTTCTTGTAACCATATTAGAAGAGGGGGGAATTGTGTTGCTCATTCGGTTGCTCGGATTAGTCCTGCTAATAGTGTTGAACAATTATTTGTATCTTCGTTTCCGCAAGGTGTGTTAGCCTTGGCGGAACTTGATCTCGTGAATTAATACTAATCCTGCTCATTGAGCGCTTTTTCAAAAAAAAAAAAAAAAAAAAAATAGTCTATAATGAGAAGATGATACTGAAGATTACAATAGATAATATCAATGATTTTCGTCTAACGACATATCCTAACATAATGTACCAAATTAAAGATAACAAGATATGATAATAACAATGATAACCAAATTACCAATTATATCTTGATATCTCTAATGAGAGGTGTCTTATTGATGAATAAAAAGTAATACCGCAAGTGCACGGTGCCTGTTGTTAGCAGAGATTTAGCAAATACGGGTCGAATCCCATAGGGAGACAGGTTCTATTAGTTTTTGCCCAATTATATGAACTATTTCTATAAACGAATAATGATTCGATGATTAATTAACTAAAGAATGACAATAATGAAAATAAGGTTGTTCTCAGACAAATTAAAGTCTAGGGCATACGTCCGGTCCACCATGCTTATACCAATCCAAGAAATGCAAACAATCCATTAATAAACAAACTAGGTCGAATAATTAAAGCACTTATTAATTCTACGATCGGGAATTAACGCTTACGAATTAACATATGTAGTTCGGCCGCTAGCATAATCAAATTCGCCAATTGTAATTAAGCCTCTAAAAATATGATCTTTCAATTCTAATTTTTATTAGCTAAATAATTAACTCATGATATTGGCCAATTACATGAATCAAACAATAAAGCACAAATCAATTGGAATTATCCAAACCCTAATTCATAAATTTATAAATAAATAAGCACAAATAATCATGGTATAAACATGTCTTCCCTCACTTAACCCTAGAAAACGACTACTCACTCATAATCGAAATAAACAAAACAAAAGAGATAAATAAACTTGAATTCATAATTAATAAAATAAATAAAGAACGAAAAGAATAATTGAAATACCTCGATGATTGAATTAATGAAGAATGAAAAGCTAGGGTTTAACAATGGAGAGAAAAAAAACTAAGAAACGTTTAATCTGGAAAAATAAAGCATAAAGAGGAAAATAAAATCCTCCCAAGTATTTATATTAAAACCTAATCCTAAATAAAATAAAATAGATAAAATAAAAATAATGAAATAAAAGTAACAAAGGTCATCTTTTAATTGGTCGAGAGAATTACGATCGACGGAAAACAAGTTTCCCGCGCGCCAGATCCATCGCCCGATGGATGGCCGATGGGTCGAGTGATCAAGGGCTGCGACGACGACCATCGACCGATGGATTTCCATCGGGCTAGGCAGATTCGAAGGGTCGTTTGTGCGGCTAAACCATCGCCCGATGGCTGGGCGCTTGCTGGCAGATTTGCAGGACCGATTTCGGAAGGCTGTAATTCACAATCTAGGAATCGTATGAAGGCGTGTGACATATAATTGGAAAGCTCTTCAAGTCTAGTTTCCAACCCAACTTGAATCACCTCAATCCGATCTGTAGAACTTGAGATATGGCTAAAACAATGCACAAAGGTCCTTTTTGATACTTTGCAAGCCTTCGTTTTCTTTTGTTCCTAACTCAAATTCAATTCCGAAAAGTGCATATCGATCCTTGTGGATGCTATTTTCATTCTCATGCATATAATCCTTAGAGACAACATCCACGAGCATAAATCCCTCAGTAAATGAACTCGATCCATCTATTTCCATTCAAATATCATTCGAATCATCTCCAAATACTTCGAAAGCGTCCAAATGACTACGAAATCACCTGAAACATTAAGAAATACACAAACGGAGCGTAATAGAGCGATATAGAATGACTTATGCAGATATGACCCTAAAATCGACCAAAAAGACTAAGATAAAGGTATAAAAACTAACATAAACGTGCCTAAGAACCCTATATAAATATGATTCATCACTTATGACATAATAAATACTCTAATTTGTGACTCGATTCGAGTAACCATAGCTGTGACTCTGTGAGTGTAACTCTAAGATGAGAGATTAACGTATAACTTTAATTAGTCAAAGTTATACTTCCGTGCCCAAAAAAACATCCTCATCTTGTGGAGGGTGTAGCTAGAGCCTAGAGGGGTTAATTCGAATATACTGGGTGGATTCGATAAAGTTGGGTCGGATCAAATCTATTTTTGAATTTGAGTTCTATATTATTAAATAATTGTGTCAAAGCAAATCGATATCTGAATTTAATCGTAATTTGTTCGGAATGGTTGTAGCCAGAAGTAATTAGACCCAAATTACCAAATCTAGCCAAAACTAATAATAGAAAGTTGGGATTTGAGAAGCCATTTAACCCAATCAATAGAAAAACATGGCGGGAATTTGTTGCTCCACCAGCGTTATTCCAAGATTTCCAACACCCTACTCCTCCAGACATTCCAAAGTAATTTCATTTCATCCTAATTCAAACCCTTTGTTGTCAGATTAAAATTTCTAATCTTTCCCCTTTTCAATAATCATCTTTCTGCTCTTTAATTTTCCAATTTTGCAGATCACCAATACCAGAATTTTTTGCAATTCAAACCCATCAACTGACCGCAATTCAAAGAAACAAACACCCCAGCTCCTTAAATTTGCCGTTAATGGAGTCACTGAATTTCTCAGGCTTTTCTCTTCCTTCAATAATAACAGGTTGCCCAAATTATTCCCTTTTTTTTTTTTTTGTTTCATTTACTTTGAGAATTAAGGATTTAAGAAGTCGGGACCTTTTAAAAGTGGACCGACTATAGTTGAGACTGATGGTGTCAATTTTTAATTTCTCTAATTATAAGTTTTAATTGAGGATTTATTGTTTGTAGAATGGATGTGGTGGTTGCTAAAGGAGAAGAGGATTTTTTAATTTCTGGGGTGGATGATGTTTTGGGTATTCTCAAATCAGATTATGATAATGCATATTTTGTTACAGGTGAATTTTCCCTTGCTTTGTGCATTTACAATACTTTCTGTGTGACTTTGATTCAGTGAAACCTTTTTTATTAACTGCTGAATAATATTGAATACATAATATTAACTATTTCAATGAATCAATGTAAACATGATGTGGGATACAGAAGTTTTGCTAGTAGTTTTGGATGATGTTATTTGACTCTTGAAACCATACTAGGAAGAAATTATTGTGCTATAATTGTTGAGCAGATTGTATGTGTCTTGATATCGTCCATGCTCGGGATGAGGCCTGTGGTTATCGACTTATCGTGGAAACTCCTATAATCTTTGTATGTGTGATCATCCATATGTTTATGAGTGATACTTGGTATATCTGTTCATATTGATGACTCTTGTACCGATTTTTATCATCCTTTTGTATGCCTGGCTGCCGGCAACTGATTGGTGTTGCTCTAGGACTGTTGATTGATAATCTGATTTGAATTCTTAGGACTCCCACTGACAAGCACAAATGACCATTTGAGAGCTGATAACATTGTTTGGTGGATGCAGGGATTTTTACCTCTTCAATTTATATCGAGGATTGTCTTTTTGAGGATCCAACTATTAAATTTAGTGGTAAATAATGGACTTTGCGTCTTTACTTCCTTTGCTAACAGATGGCTAAATGCTTGATATTTTTCTTGCAGTTGTGTTTGACTTTTTTTTGTTCTGAGTTAATTATAATTTTTTTTCTGTCTTGTACAAAATAAATGTGTAGCTGGAGGTTTTGATGAAAGGGCTTCAATTCAATTCATTCCTAATGCCTTGAGCAGGTTTCTATCTTGGGGGTTGGACAGGTTATGGGGTTTAGATGTATCCTGTATCTCTTAGACCCTTGATCAGCTGTGTTACCTAGACTTGGAAATGGAATTTTTGGAATAGATGAATGGACTTATATTACCATGTCAGATTGTCTATTGCTTGCATTGTAAAGCTGGTGTTGATTGTTTACACATTGGCTTTTCTTCCCCTTTTTTCCGGGCTTAAAGTATGTTTTAATGTGAGCCTATTGAGCCCCCAAGTTACTAGAATAAACTGGTTATTTGTTTTCGGTTAAGCAGGTAGAGAGTTGTATTCACGGAACTTGCAATTGCTTGTACCTTTTTTTGAGCAACCCTCTATTGTGCTCAAAAGTATTGAGAAGGTATTTACTTCCTTTTTGGTTCTTTAAAGTTGTAAATTTTATGGCATTGATAGTCTTCTCTTTTTTCAGTTGCACCTAATCTTGAACAAACTGGTCTTTACTTGAAAAAATAAACTTCCCCAATCTGGCACTCTGTCTTTACAAATTGTAGACAGACTTTTTTCTATTTACATTCCATTGAAGCCTTTCTGCCTCACGTCAAATTCCAATTAACAGGGTGCTGGGTTTTATTTCCAATGCTCATTCTCTTGACTGGTTTTCTTTGTCAGGCTACTCTCACCTCAACAATGAATCTCATACAGCTGGTTTTCTTCAAGGGATTATATATTTCATGTATAATCATAAACTTATAACATATAAAGCAATAAGTCTACTTGTTTTATGTCAAACCACATGTGATTTTGTTCCTGTGATGGAATATCTGAACCATCTTCAATCATGAACTATAACTTGTGAAGGCCTTGTTCTAATGATATGCAAAGTGAACCAGTAGCTGATTTCAATCTCCATAGGGGCTATGGGTTTTGGGCTTTAGGATAGGGAAGGGCGTTAAAAGGATTCTGCTCCTTGGTATCCGATTGTGTAATTTTTCCCTTTTTCATGTCCTTTCCTCAATGTAATTACTACTAACACCTCTTATGTGATTCATATCCCCTGTTGGGAAATTAGTTACACCAACTTGGGGTTTCAATGGTACCTAATATGACCTTTAACTAATTGCCTTGTGATATTACAACATTGAATAATCATTTCATTGACCTGATGCCTTTCCTTTTATTGGAGTTTCATTCATCTGCTTTTTGACTGACATAGTGACATGTATGTTACAAGTAGAATCCTATTCTCCATTGCTGAGTTGATAATGATTCTGGTTGCTCCTAATACACAGGGCGTTGATGCTGATAGAGATTTTGTATTGGCAAATTGGAGCTTAAGGTGCTTAGTTCATTTTTTTCAAGCTTATAATTTTCCTAGTTACTGTGACTTAGTGATCACTTTCTTGTCATGCTGCTTTTATTACTCTTCTATGTATTACGTGCCACCAATGTAACAATGCAAGATGCTACATTTCCTTGGGGACCTATTCTTTTGCCAGCAAGTTTCATTCTCTTCTCATAACAGTATTTGCTTGTCCTGTAAATGATATCAGAATTGTCGGTATGTTCATTTTGTAATTTACTCTAGTTCGTTCTTCGGTCTATGCATTTATGGTCCTATAAGAGGTTTCCAAACATAAATAGATTAATGGACTGTTGCTTGGCAATATATGGAAGTTACTTAGGCTGTGGTTGATCTTCCAAGAGTAAGTGCAGTATCTGAATATTGATTTTAATGGAGTGCTAAATCATACATGTAAAGTTGTAAACTATCTTGTAATCCATGTTGATAGTCCCATTCTCATCTCTCAGTCTGGACAGGCAAACCTACTAGTTCAACTTAGAAGATATCTTATTAATTAGGTTGTTTACTTCTTGTTTAGTTTATAGAAGCTGGCAGTCGTTACATTAATTAGGGTTAATTGAAAACTACTCTCTGTTGTAAGGGCAAGTGCTTGTATATCATCTCCCATACCTTTCAAGGTCAGGAGACTCGTTAGAGGCATTAGTATTGTTAGCCACTTTGTTGAAAGATATGCTGTTCATTTTTTTGTGGATTGGCAATAGTTATGTACATGTGAATTATAATCAATGTATTCTGTTTTTCTTGATCAACCATGAAAATCGCTGGTAGCCTGTCAACTGATTGTTCTTTTGTCTAAAGCTTCTGTATATCTCATGTATCTTATACTATAGATGAATAAATATAATCTGATGACGATTTTAGCATCTATTCTGCAGAAGCATATAATTATTTATGTATTTTATGTTTTTGTGTTTTGACTACTTCATATTTTCTATTGGGTTTATGTTTCCTTAATATTCTTATGGAAGTTATTATGTTACATGCTTTTATAATAGTTACAAAATCCTATCGTAAAACTTTCACTTTGTATTTCTGAAGGACCTACTTAAAGCTTCCATGGAGGCCTCTGATTGCCATTGAAGGAAGTACAACCTATGATTTAAATGATGAATATAAAGTGAGTATATAGATCTTTTTTACTATGTCATCTCAGGAGCAACATATCCGGATACCTTTAATATTTCTTTTAACTGAACAGATTGTCAGACATTTGGAGAGATGGAATGTTTCTGCACTTGAAGCAGTTGGGCAGATATTCACTCCTGGTTTCAGAAGACCTTTGGATTGAACACATAATTCTCAAGTGGTAGCCATGTTTAAGCAATATGAACTAGTAATAAACTTACAAATTGGGAGATATCCTCGGGTCCTTATGTGGTGAGTTTGTAGACTGGAGGTAATCTGCTTAATTAATTATTCATCCACATGTTGCTTTGCTTTATTTTTCTAGGATATAACAATTACTGTGCATTACTGGATGTTTCAGAATGGCTTGGCCTTAGGGATTCATATGGAGAATCCATGTTGTTAGATTGTGTATTGTATGCAACTTTTGGGGAAGTGTCTTTTTGGGTAGCGGCAAACCACTGTAAAAAATCGGCTGAACATTCTTACATGGGCTTACTGATGCTTGTTCTAACTGGATCCACTGTAGCCAAAGCAACTTGGTGTGTTGTGTGAGTCTTGTGACTTGCTAAGTCTGTTATAGATTACCAGTATTGTGATATATGAATGTTGTGTTAAAAGATAAAGTTATTATATTTTGAATTGAGTATTCTGTACTAGTTCACAAGTCTATGACATACTTGATGAGCATTTTGATCAACAAAACCTTTTGCTGCTTCATTTCTTCTTTTGAATGGATAGAGCAATACACTAGAATTGAGCTAGCCTTTTTCATCCTATACTTCTCCTATTTGCTGAGTGCTGATGTGAAATTAATAGTAGCTCATATACATTGACACCTTTTAGGTCCAATTAGGGGTAGTTTAATTCTAACTACATATGCTCCTCTTATTAGCATGTTTCAAACGAGTAGATTCACCTTAATCTCATATTCCAATTTACACTTTACCGAGCTTTTTCAAATAGTGGATTGACATTTTAAATCTACTCTATTTACCTCAATCAGCTCTTTACCAAACCTCCCTTATTTATACATATTACCACTGCAGGGACTAGTCTCAACTGTCAGATATGTTTCTACTGCTTACGGCGACATTAGCTATGAAGCTGTGCTTGCAACTCTTTCCCCTGACGAACTGTTCGATATTATCACTGTGTGAAGCTTCGTTTAGCATATAATTTTACATAGAACAAGCATCAATGATGCTGCATTTATTTTGCTTCATATGTAGGAAAACCTGTATAAAAAGGCGCTGTCTAAAGTCAGTGCTGTGCATTATTTTTCTATCCTCTAGCTCTAGTTTGTTTATAAGACGATGGCTAAGTTAGGTTGGAAATTAGTGGCTTTATTTCATAGAGTTGCTGCAGATGATGTACCAAAGTGTAGCCAGTTAGAACTGATATGAAAGTTGTAGCTTTATACTACGTATAATATCCATGTATCTGCTGTTTTGATGTTTAGAATCATAATGTTTTTGAGGGAGCCCCAGTTCATCTTTATGATGAACAAAAAACGTTTATCTAGTGGCAATTCCGTAAATAAATTAATATAAAATCTCAGTCATCACGGCGTTTCTGTAAATAAATCAACATTACTAGGGTCCACATTTGACAAAAGTTTTTGATTTATTTACAAAAATGTCACTAGATAACGTATTTCTGTTTATCGTGAAGATAAACTTGTATTTTCTCTTTTTTTAAAGGGAATCTCTGTCCACTTGGTAAGTAAAAAGAAGAGGAAAATATTACTGTAATATGCAAATAGTTCAGAGAAGATGTTTGAAATAATCCGAGCACACAACTTTAATTCTCTAATTCTCTGTGATACGACACAAAAAGCCCTAGGCAGGTTGGTATAAAATCGAGTATCATCTCACAATCATACCCCCTTCGTTTCTAAAAGAGAGCTCTTATTCACTTTTACTTTATAGACTTTTGATGAATAGAGTTGATAAGAGACAAAGGCGATGTGGTCAAAAGTATATTATGAGAGAGCAAAAATATAGTCCTCATGAATAAAAAAAAAAAATAGCAAATAATTAATCTTTTAGGATAACCATTTTTTGTATATGGGGCAAACATTAAGGAATTCGTGTTTTTAAATCCTCAAACTCGTCCCATTACCGAATAAACATATGTCTATCACGGCCATGATTGAATCCGATGTGAAACAATACCCACCAAATCACCCGATTAGACAATCCTAACAAAAATTTCCAAGTCCAAGTAATGAGTAGAAAATTTATCATGAAAGCAACATTATAACTTGTTTAGTAGCCTAGTAATAATAGGCTAACAACCAAGCATTAGTGAGATAATTAGTTGCTTTATGGTCCCATAAAATCCGGATTATTATGCAAACAAAAAAAAAAGGCTGTTTGTAGCTTTTACTATTTGGATCTTTTTCCTCATCCAACTGTCTATTTGAAAAAGACTACAAGCTCACCCTCCCAAAATTTAATTAAAAAAAAATTAAAATAGAATATAAGGACAAAATAAAGAAAGTCTTTGAAAATGAAAGAATAAAAATAGAATTTTTCTAATATATTTTATTTTAAATTTATTTTTCTTGTTTTTTTTTTTTTGGATGGGAATAAAAATTGATGGTAGTTGCTTGAGAATCCAAGGCAGGAAAAAGGTTGCATCATCCATGCGCGGCTGCACCTCTGTTATGGAGCATTCAACTACTAATCATTATGTGGCTCTTGTGTTTTCTATATTCGGTGGGTCCATTTTCCCCTGTTTTCATATGAACATATTTTTGGATGTATTTGAATATAATTCAATTCTTCTATTGTCTACTTGAATTTTGCAAATAACTACATTAGATTTGGTGAAACGAACTTAGTCTAACCATTAGTGTCTAACTAAACCCAAGTTGTTAGAATTGTTATGTATGAGTGACATAGTGACATTATCGATTCACGTGGTGTTAAATGGAGAACTAGTTAGCTAGTTAAGTTTATTCATATATATACTGTGTCATTTAATTTTATCCCTTTCTTTCGGTTAATATTGTTCAAAAATGCTAATGTCTTTTACTACGGTTGATCACATACTTACATTGTTGTAATCTATCGGTATCAATATATGCTATATTGATCTGATGTAAAATTATTTAACACGTTAATTTGTTATTGGTAAAGACAATATTCAAAATGAAAAAGTTTGTAAGGTTAATCATCAAATAACTTTTTTTTCCTATTCAAACCACTTTGGAAAAAAATGAGTATTTGAAAATCAAAAGACAAGACAAAAGTGATCATGTAGTATGATTTTGTCTTGTAGAAAAAACCAAATATTTCCTCTAAATAAATTTGAAAATTAGTGTAGTATTCAGTTATTCACAGCATTTACTGTACGGTAAAAAATGGTCCATCACTAACGTAACAGAGTACTTATTGTTTTGTAGCAAAAACTTCGTTGTATCTTCTTCTTGAAGGCAACGCAATACCTTACAAAAAGTTGCAAAATTCTCTCGCAAGCAAGCAAGCAACTGGTTTAATGAACCCATGTTTTAATTTGTTTATCAAATTTGATTAAAGACATTGTAGAAGTATATATTGTACCGTTGCATTGATCGAAAATCCAAAATCGAATTTTTAATTAAAGCAATGTAACAAATTCAATTAAACAATGGGAAAAGAAAAATAACTCAGGGCTTGTTCTCATTTATTGAGCTGAACTAAATTGAACTGAATATTTTATGAGAGAAAAAAAAAAAATTGAACTGAAATGAAATCAACTAATAAGCTAAGAAACATGCCCTTGTTGAATTCAACATATGTAGTAAAATCATTAATCCTTCTTTATTTTGTACAAGGAATTTTACTACCACATTTCAACTTTTGTGTAGAACAGTTAGAAGAATGCCAATAAAACATGATGCAAATTCTTCAAAATAAAGTCTAAATTAATTCCTAAACAACAAGAAACTGTACACAATACTCTTAGAGAATTTTTCACCACAAATCTTACTACCAATCTAGTAAAATTTGAGAATTCCCTCCCAAAGATATTTTTTAAAAAAATTATTTTTGAAAAATTAAGATAAAATGAAAAAAATAAAAACTAATCTCTCCTCCATGCATACAAAACTAAAGAATAACCACCATTACCACCACCACCAAAACTACCACTGGACCGCGTCGTCGAAGACGAACCCGAAGAACTCCTCCCACAATCACTACTCTCCTCCGCCCATTGCAACACACTCGAACACGACCCGGCCGGGGACAACGCTGTCCCCGGCGCGGGTGAATTCTTCCTCATCAACCTCTTCTCTGGTCCCACCATTTCCGGCCAAACCCCACCTTCACCCACTTGAAAAACAAACACCCCATTTTTCTGAGCATTCATTAAATTCCCTCCATTATTATGAATATTGTTATTATTAACCCAATTTAACACATCCCAATAAAATTCCACCGCAATTCCATCAATCATCATTCTCTCATTCCCTCTAAACTTCCATGCTAATCTTTTTACGTTCACTTTCAACTCTCCATCAAACTTCACCTTTAGTGTTCCTCCCGAACATTCGATCTCGATCGAACGAGTTGAACCCAAGAACTCGGACCGCGTTGCGTAGATTCTACGCCCGAATACGTGCTCCCTCCTCGACAGGAGAGTGGACTCGGCCGAGTTGACAACAACTCGGCCGAGTCCAACTCTCCGGGTTAAGTCCTCCTGGAGATCACCCAGGAGGAACTCAACCCGGCTATTTCGTACAAATGCTAAGTAATATCTTGACTCTGGCTCGGCCGAGTTCGGCTGAGCGAACTCGGCTCGAGTAAAGTCATAGTATAACTTAATCTTAGGTTGACTCTCATTTTGAATCTGATGATCATGGGTTTGGTTCAGCTGAATGGATTTGGACCCGGGCCGGATCCGGAAAATAGAGAAGGTAGATGGTTGGAGAGAAATTGTAATTGAAAACAAATCAGGAGCATGGATAGTAAGGGAATGTGAGTAGGGTGTTCTTGACCAAGTGAGTGTAAGAAAAATAAGTGAGTCAATTAACCTCGTTTGATATATACAAGTAACAAGAGACTCTTTCGATGATGATGTTGTTGCTGCCTGTACACTTTTGCTTCTACTTGACACCGGACTCCCCGGGTTACTAAAACACCCTTGTATCATTCTCAAAAACTCGGATTTTTAGCAACTGATATTTGCGACTACCCAATTTAGAAGAGTTAGGAGTAATTTGTAATGTGGGAGTGTTGTGGGTTTTATATCTATAGGAAGAAAGAAATGGAGAATGTATAGTAGAGCAAATGTAATGCAACAATATAAATGATTGAAAGGGTGTAAATATAATGATGAATAAGAAGCAGTTGGAAAAAGGAAAGAAAAAAGGGGTGAAGTGTGATGAGTTGGGTTCCAAGTTGGGCTTGATTAGCGGCAAATTGAGGGCTCACAGTCCCTTATACTCTACGAGGTGAGCTGGGGTGCACTTTAGGGACAATATCTAAATATACAAGTATATATAAATAACTAATACTGTTAGACTTTTGAATTTCTAGCTTGCTACCTTAATTGTCAAATTGCCAAACCTTTGTGGTTTGTCTACATTATTTTATGTAGGACCTTGCTTTGCTTTTCAAATGGTTTTACATCCTAAGGGTATATTTATAGTTTATACATTACGTTTTCGTATTTTGGTGTGTTATATTCAACTTATTTTAATGTGCAGTACGGAGTATGTTTTAGTCCATGTTCAATACATCATATTTTCACTTGTTTTATGAAAAATAAGTTTGGAGAAGATGAGTTTACAAAAATAAAAACACTAATAAGTGTTAACTAACTTCAAATTATACCTAAAATAAGTACAAGATACTTTCAGGCAAAATTATTGTTCAAAACTTCAAATAAGTGAAAATTAACTTTAAAAAAACACATCCTATAGTGTTTGTATAAGTTCTAAATTAAGGCATATTAAGTCAGGGAAAAAAAAAAACAACAACAACGTAGTCACTCTATGTAATTATGTATGCATTTTATTAATTTGCTTTTTCATATTTGAATTTAAATGAATTACTTTAGTTGTGAATTAAATAACAATTCAAAACATATTTATAGTCACCCTAAGATGTACTATGCATATGAATGTTTTTCTTGAATTAACTCTTAATTAAACTCATTTTTCATGAAATAAGTAGATATAAAATGATCATAATAGGACCTAAGTTACATGCAAAGTGGACCTTCATTGTGGCGGGTCGGCCTAGCCCTCCTTAATTTTTCTAAGTTATTGATTAAAAGTAATACTTCCTCCGTTCTTTTATTATTGCCACCACTTGCTTTTTTAGGAAGTTTCATAAATATTACACCATTTCCTCTTTAGGAAAAAAATTATTTGTGTTCACACTACAAATACCCAACATACTCTTGCTTTTTCAATCTTACTTTTTTGTTTA